TTTTTTTATATTTTTTTTTTATATCTATTTTTTTTTTATTTTTTTTTTATATTTTTAAATTTTTTTTTTATTCTTCTTAAAATTTAATTTTTATTAATATTTTTATTATTAATATTTATTTTTATTTTTTTTATTTAAATATTATTATTATATTAAATTTTTAACTTTCTTTTTTTATTTTTAATTTTTAAATTTTTTTTTTTTATAAATTTATTTTTTTTTTTTTTACTTTTTATTAAAAAAAAAAGATATTAACAAGAAACGAAATCCCCACCCATTCTATTGCAGGGTAAAATCATTTGCTACGTTTTAAAAAACTTAAGATATCTTGGTGTAGAGGTACCCTTTAACAGATCAATATACCACAACTAAACAAAGAAAGCCAAAGCTAGGCTAAAATGCTCTCAAAGCTGTTGCTGGCTTTCAATCCCAACTATGGTGCGAATGTGAGATCGTGGATGATGGACATAGACTATGGTAGGTCGCTTAATTGATTATGCTGCTCCCATGTCGCTATTATCTAGAGAAAGTTCTCTACGACCCTTGCGAGTTAGTGCAAAATGAAGCTCTCTGGATTTTCTTGGGCTTCTCCCAGTTCTACAGAAGTTCTTAACATGAGGATAGGGAGCTTGGTATTCTAGTTTCAGTGATAGGATTGTTGGGATTATAACTGTACTCGGTATTAGAATGTTAAAGGAAACGTACCGACACTGTCCAATGAATCTTACCAAGTCGTCTAGAGGTAAATATACAAAGTATCTAATGGATTGTGAAACATGCAATGCATTAAGTTTTTATAAACCTGCAGAACGTATCCTGTGGCAACAAAGAGCATTTCCACCCCTTACGTGAGATCAGTTGTGTTCATCTTAATAATCACTTACCTACAAGTCCCTCCCCAAGAAGCTCATTGCTAGGTAATCCCTTCCTTAAATCTCTTGTCTAGAGAACTGCTCAAGATAGAAATTCTCACTTAGCTGGTTGTAATCGGTTATCACAAGTTATATACACTGATGGATCTAAGCAGGAGTTCTTCTGCAGGGCTGAATCTGCGCTTGTCTGCACCTCCTAGTTTAGACGATAATAAATTTGTTGGTTATGGCATAAGAATTAACAACTGGGCGTTACACTGACAAAACTGAATTGTTTGCAATCCTAATGAGGCTGAGCTAACCTATGACACTGAGTTGATCTCTCATCATTACTGATTCTATGTCATATTGAAGCCTCTTGACTCATATAATGACTCCAACAACATGCTCATTGGAGAAAGCCAGGTTATAGATACTCAAAAAGTAGGGTTCCAAAGGACTTAAATGTACAATTGCTTTGGATCCCATCACACATTGGATTACTCCTTCATGATAAAGTTGATATGTTGCCAAGAAGAGTCCCAGGAAGGAGAATGTAGAGAAATATAACTTGGTATAACTGTGTCTAGCATTAGGTTTAATATTAGGGAGAGAAGTAAATAATGGAAAATGATTGTTTATAGGAATGCAGTTAGAAGCCTGAGTAGTTTCTTTAACCCACTATGATAACATGAACGTTGATTTAGATAAGTATGTTTATGGAGCATCTTGCAATGTGACAGACTGACTGATGTTGTAGTGGCCAGACTTAGGCTTGGCTTACAAGTACTTCTGGCAGTTGGGAGGACACACAGTTTGTGATTCAAACTAAATGTAAATTATGTGATCAGGCACTTGGGTCACTCTCTTGATCCACTATTGTGCTTATTGCCAACTTATTGAGAAATACAGAGACAGACAGTATAATATCCTATGTGACATGTCAAGATATCTTATTAATGAAATAAGATACCAGATTATATATAAGCAATTTTCCTAATTTTGCTTGTGTAACAGATATAGTGAACTATAGATTTGTAGATCTAAATCCATTTGTAATCCTTGTTAACCTTTGGGCCTAGTTTCCTAGGCCCTTTTGTGTATCCAATATGCTTCTTGCGCTTACCGTCCACAGGTGGATATGAGGTGCACAATAAACTAGCCACTCGGTGGCAAAATCTAAAAAAAAACAATCTACTCAAGGACAGCAAGGGTTACACCCAATACATTAAACAACTATTAGGCCAATATCAAACTTATAATTGCTATCCAAAAATATTCGAGAAGAAACTCGTGAACAGGAGACTATATTCATTTATAATGTCACAAAACATACTCAACCCCTCCCAAAATTTGGATTCAGGAAAAATAAAAGCATAATGATGCATTATAAAAAATGCTAGACCTGCTTTACACAGCATTGGAAAATAAGGAATATTGCTAGGAATTTTTTATTGACCTAAGAAAAGCGTTTGACACAGTAGACCACGACATCCTACTCCACAAACTTGAGCACTATGGTATAAGACGCTATGCGCTTGCATATTTTAAATCCTACCTTTCTAATAGGTATCAGTATGTCACCATTAACCCTTTGACTGTTTTCGACGTATAAATAACGTCTTACGACCAATGTTTCTGACGTATATATACTCAATAATTCTAGTGGCTTCAAATCAAGCAGGAGAAAGCTGGTAGGCCCACATGTGAGAGAATGGGTCTGTGTGGTCAGTGTGCACCACATAAAAAAAATCCTGCAGCACACATTGCGTAATGAGAAAAAAAAAACTCTGATCGTTTTTTTGGAATAAAATGCCGACTTTGAGGTATATTTTTGTATAGTATTTATCATTGTATTCGCGTTTTCATGGTCTTAGGTGATAAAATGGAAAACATATTACAGAAATAGAGATGATTTTCATTAAATTGACGATGAAAACGACCTTGAAACAGAGCTCAAAGTAGCGGAAATGTTCGATTTTTAACCCAAAGTTCAGGGAGTAAATAAATCACACCACACGTTTCCCAAAACACGTCAACTGGGGAGTCTAATATTCTTTCACTAGTGCACTGATATTATTTATACCATTTTTACAATAATGCATAACAGTAAATTTTGTATTTTTTTTGTATGAATAAAAAATCAAAATAGAAAGCAATAATAATATAAGAGGGGGCCTAGAGATGGACTAATGAACAGAGCATATGTTATTTTAGTGCCACGAATGTCTACCTTGTTTATTCTGGACCCTATTTTGAAATTGGCATCTTTTTTATTTGCATGAAATTGGCCAAATTGCCAATTTCTGACCACCATATTGGGTAGTCCAAAATTTGTAAATGGGAGGTTTCTTGTACTCAGTGATAGATAAAATGGAGTTCTAAAGAAATAGCTATGGTTTGGTCAACTGGAACAATGGAATTGGCTGAAAATAGGGCTCAAGTCGGCGAAATCGCCGATAGTATATGTCGCCGAGACCGTTAAATTCGCGGGAGCATAATTCCATGAGTTTTCGACCAAATTTCGAACTTTTGGTGTCATTACCATCGGGAAAAGATTCTCTTCATTTCCTAAGGGAAAAAACATTTTTTTTTTTTCAAAAATTGAGCAACATAGAATGACAGTTTCAGAAAGGGGCCTGAAACAGTCAAAGGGTTAAAGACACAGCCTCATCAATACGGCCACTTGATACTGGAGTTCCACAGGGAAGTGTCCTTGGACCCCTGCTCTTCCTCATTTACATCAATGATCTTCCAAACATATCCCAACACCTGAAACCCATTCTCTTTGCTGATGACACAACTTATGTCATCTCCCACCCTAATCTTGCCACCCTCAACACCATTGTTAATGAGGAGCTGCTCAAAATATTGACTTGGATGACAGCCAATAAACTTACACTTAACACTGGCAAAACCTACTATATTATGTTTGGTAGCAGAGCAGGTGTTGCGCAACTTAACATTAAGATCGACAACACTCTAATTGCCAGACATAATGAGGGCAAATTCCTTGGCCTATACCTCGACAACAACCTAAATTTCAGCACCCATATCCAACACATAACAAAAAAAGTATCCAAAACGGTGGGGATCCTCTCCAAGATACGATACTACATATTGCAAACTGCCCTTATCACACTATACCATTCACTTATATATCCATACCTCACCTATGCTATCTGTGCTTGGGGTTCAACTGCAGCAACACACTAAAGCCAATAATAACCCAACAAAAAGCCGCAGTAAGAATAATCACTAAATCCCATCCCTGGCAACACCCCCCCCCCCACTCTTCATAGATCTAAACTTACTCCCTGTTCAGAACATCCACACTTACTACTGTGCAATCTATATCTACAGGACCTTAAATTCCAATATTAACCTTGACCTAAAATGCTTTCTTGATAGTTGTGACAGGATCCACAGGCATAACACCAGACACAAACATCTCTATGACATTCCCCGTGCTCGACTAAACCTTTACAAAAATTCAATGTACTGTATTTCAAAGGACCTAAAATCTCTAACACCCTACCTGAAAACTCTAGAACTGCAGACACATTCATCACTTTCAAAACTACAGTTAGAAAACATCTTATATCCCTGATCCACCCTGACAACTAACTACATGATAACCACCTGGTGGTTCAAAATTACACTCACTCACCCACTGACTATAAACCCAGAAATTACTAATCTTAATCTTAAAATAATAAATCCTAACTAGTCATAAGTTTGCCTATGATATTCAAATATAGACACCTTGTATTGTGCCAAAACAAAAACATTCACATTGCTAAACTCACAAATTATGATGTAGTAACTTAGCCTTAATACCATAATCTGTAAGGATTTAATGTTAAGAATTAATCTAAGTCTGCTGGAAATGCCTAGCCATGCTAGGTGTCCTAGTGGCTCCCTCTGTAATTAGTATTTTATAACATGTAAACCACAAAATACCCAAAACCTGTAAACCCCACATTGTAACCATTATAGAGAATAAACTTGAATTGAATACAGTTATATAGATTATCACAGCAGCACATATGTAGCTCTAGTTGCCTGGACCAATAACATTCAACATCAAGCATCCCCTTCCCTTCCTTGATGGAATTAATATAAAATATAAACAATCACAAGACTTACCTTCGAGACAAGTCTGCCTTTTTATTTTCTAACTGTAGCCATAAATATGGATTCTGTAGTCTTTGAAGTTTCTGTACTTTGACTGTGGGAAGTGTAAGTCTTAATCGGCTTGTAACTTTCTGATATTCAGGACTATTAGGATTAAGTGCTACAAGAATATGGGTTTGATTGGCAGACATTGGAATCCAGTGAGAGGGAAGACAATTTTGTGATTTGTCGGGCAATGTCTTCTTCCGAGAATGTATCTGTGATGGACGTCGGCGAATTTCCCTTACTTTGTTTGTTTTCATGTTAGTTTGCGTCATCTGTGCAAAGTTTAGCTTATAGGTGAACTTGATATTACTTATCAGCATTGATGAGGAGGGATCTGACAAATATTGCTTTTCAATACTGTCACTTGTAGTGCTACAGGCAAGTTCCTGTTTACCCAGACTATCAACTTCACCATAGCAGATCCATTTGCCTTGTTCATCAAGAAAGAACCAATCATATACAGTAGAATTTGGGCTCTTTGACTCTCCTGCAGATCTAGTTGAGACCCGCCGAATTTTAAGTTGTGTTCCAGATGAATCTTCAATAGACATGTCCTTGAAATCAGCTATCCATGACTTGGTACCCAAAATGTTCAAAATCTCTTTAGCACAGGACTGAGATATGTTTGTATCAATAGTAGGCATTTGGAATTTATCTTTGGAGGCATCCCGGTAAGCAGTTTCTAGGGCTTTAGAATGAAATATTCGGAAGTTGTACCACTTATTTGCTTTTTGAAATTGCCAATGAAAATTACTTTTTGCATGGAGATACTTGCAGCCTTTGTTAGTATTAAGACACTTGTCATTTATTGCATAAATACATATTGCTGGAACTTCCACATCACCATAAACATCAGTGGATTGAACAGTCATCTTTGTGTGCTCTTTTTCCCTTTTAATATTAGTTTCTACTTTCCTACTGGTTTCCTTGCCCTTTCTTTTGTGTGTGACATTACTGTATTGTGAATCACTATCACTGCTACTGTCTGAAGAGTCTTCATCACAAGAGGTTTCACTTCCACTGCCATTCTCATCAGAATTTGTGGCTTTCTTTTTTCTTCTCATTTTTAAATTTCCAGATGACACAGACGAAAGCTGATCATCATTTTCTTTGCGAATAGATGACAAGATGTTCAACAGAATGTCACGTTGGCTCTCATTGGTGGAAATGCCATAACGTTTTAAAAGTCTTTTACAATGGCCATTGAAGACGTCATGATTGAATGAGCAATTTTGAAATAAGCATTTTCCACCATTAATTAAATATTCTTTACAAATGTGTAAACGACTGCATCCTTCATTCTTCATACAGCCCCTCTTTCTATTATAATACTCACATATTTGTAGTGAAACATTTCCTTTGCATACCTTCCTCATAAGATGATATAAATCTGATTTGTTAATCACGTCTAAATATAGTTTTGAGAGAATGGCACTGTTGTGATCAGTATCCCACTTATGTCCATACCGGCACTTCACACCAGCCTCACAAAATCCTATTACAAAGAACTTGCACATGTGAATATCACTGCAAGATTTAAGAGCAAGGCAACCATTTGCAGTAAAGTATTCTGAACACAATCTTATTTTGGGAACAAGCTCAACTGCTATGCCATCCTCAACACCCATGTATGAAAATATGTCCTTATGAGACTTGACAACTCTCATAATCTCATCTACGCTTCTCTGCACTTGCTTACTGAGGGTTTCCACTGTACTCCATTGTCCATTAAAGTGGGACAATATTTTTACCAATTCTGCAGGTGATAACACTGAGATATGACCCATCTTTTGAGAATCATCTTGCAAATCTTGATTCTTCTTGGGACCATATTCTTTTCTTTGTTGTTGGAATGAATCATTGTCCTCATAAATATCCATTAGAGGTGGAGCAGATGGGGTTTTTCTATTATAATTCTCTCCTACTGATTCTTCATATGAAGGTGGAGGACTTGGGTTACAATGTTGCCCTGTCTTACTTTCATGCCAAGGAGGGGGGCCATATTGGGATGTTTGATAATTTTGGCCTTCTGAGTTCTGATAATCTGAAGAGCTTTTATTTTTACCCCAATTTTGAGTAGCAGGGTGGAAGTTTCCTGAGATATGAGCTTGTGGGTGATAGTCTGCACGTTTATGAGTTCTGTAATGTGAATTTTCTGAGTTCCAAGAGTGTGGCTGATAATGTGGAGGTCTTTCATTCAGTGGTGGACAATAGGACGGACTTGGACTATGATTATATCTATTTCTTTCCAAGGGTTGCCCAGGACCATGATTGCCTTGTCTCTGCTGCTGTGGCAATTCATTTTGACAACCAAAATAATTTCCTCTTCCTCCTCTTCTACTAAATCCTCGATGTGATTGCCGCTGGTTACTGCTTCTATTGAACTGTTGATTACCTTCACAACTTAAGTTCATCATGGACTGGCTTCCTCTTTTGTTCTAAAAAAAAAGTTGAAAAGAATTTTATTTATATTTGTATTAAAAACTGTATAGAAACATTATAAAATAATTTTATCAGGTTTCCAATATACATACAGTATAGTATAGTAATAAAAAGAGATAAGCATTCAGTGTGAAAAATAAATATGTGAACTTGGAGAAAATTTGACCTAATTTTTTCATTCAATAGTAAGAGTGCAAGAGATAAGAATTATCCAGCAGAAAAAAACACTGATAAATGAGACACTTTTGTAACATTTGGGTATCATTATTTTAGAAATGTTTTGCCAGTCAGTGGCTTTTTCAGTCCAATGTGAAGAAAAGTGGAAGATGAAGAGGAGTATGAGGTAATCAGTCCCTCAGCCTGGTGTGTGGGATTTTGGGCAAGATGAGATGACTACATAAAAATTGATAACACAAGTAACCACAAAGAGACTGCACTCATCTTTTGATGCTGACAGCTCAGAACCACTGTCTTCGTAACTGTCCATCTAAGTACCCACCAGGGCTGTGGGAAAGGTATGTACGTAGGATTAGTACATGCCTAAAGATTACATATGCCACTGTTTCATGTCTGACACATGCAGATATTACCTGGTTGTGGGCAATTGCCTGCTGATCACTGCATTGATTTGGTATGTCTTATCAAAACAGCCCTTAAACCTTTCTGCTGCAGCTAAATGGTGAAATGAGAGGCCTGATAAAGACTTACCAGGAGTGTTTGTAGCATATCCACTTAATAATGCTGAAATCATTGACTTGATTCAAGAGGTAAGATGCTGCTGGAAGCCTCACTTCGTGGTCTGCTGGGCGTCGCCTGATGGCTATTACTCAAATTAGTCCATAATACTTCATGGCAGGAAGGATGTCTGGCATTAGTGCGCAGAGGAAAGTTAGTTATCTCTTCTTCTAATCTTCCTGGAGATTGTCAGTGCATGACGTGGAAAATGTACTCGAAACCGGTCACGAAATGTTTCTAAGTTTCAACACAAGATGGCACAAGTGCCCAGTCTTTGCACCTCCCTGTTCGTCATAAATTACCCAGCCTCTGCACCCTTCCTTCAAAGGATGTTCTATTGACATATAGTTTACAGACGTTGGGTGCTAGTATTTGCTACCGAACACAATCAAAGATTACTGTTTCCTTGAGTTTTAAATGAGGGCTGTAGGGAATAATGTTCCTAACTATATTATCAAGTTTGAGGCAAATTATCTCAAAATTTTAATGGTCTGGGGAAACAGCAGTTCCCTCAGACAAACACACAAGTGTACAATCAAGCAGAAATTCTCGTAAGGAGAGAAGTGGTCTTGTGTACAATCAAGCAGAAACTCTTGTAAGGAGAGAAATGGTCTTGTGATGCCATAGTACCATATTTATCTGATCTATGATCAATTTGCAATCTTGCTTAGTAATGGACACATGAAGCTGAGCTGTTGTTTGTCATACATATTCAATCTTCGTATCCAGATGTCAGAATGATTAACAGATCATAGCTACCTTTACAGAGAGTGTCTGCCCCAGGGGCATCACTTGCACCAGGGGGCATGTCTTTTCCTTTTTGTGTCCACTGAGTTTGGAGAAAAATTGTCCCGCCTGGAGCTGAGTGTTCAATCCATCAAGATGTGGATGAAAAAATCAAGACTGAGGGGGATGAAGACTCAAGTTGATGGACTGGCAAAACTTTTTCCAGAAAAAATGTAAAACAAAATTTCCCAAAAGTGTTTCATTTATCAGAAAAATTTTAAGTTTATCAGTCCCCCTTCCTATTATTTTTTATTAAAACTTTGGGCCCTTTTCCCCCAAGGCAGGATGACCTGAAAAAGAAGAAAAATTTCACCATCATTACTCCATCACTGTCTTGCCAGAGGACATGCCTACACCAAATTTATAAAAAGCAAATACCCCCCCTTCTTCAGTCTTAGAATTTCATTTTTGCATTTTTCATTTTCAATTTACTCAATTGAAGAATGTGTTTTCCCCTTTTGGGTCACCTCCCTTGGGAGTGTTCAGCGAGTGTAAACAAAAAAAATGAAAATTACATTAAAGTATAATGAAAAATATTTAAAAATTTATCATAATGACATCCTGAACTTTTTGGTTGGTTGTCTCTGGATGCTTTGCCTGTGGCCCAAAACTTTAAAAAAAAAAAAGAGTAGTTAGAAAAAAAAAAAAATAAGTGATACAGGTCAATACTTAGGGCATATAAGGGGTACGTATTTCTAGTTTTCCATTCCCAAAATATTTTTAATGGGCAGTTTTAAAAACAAATATGTATGTTATGGTGTTGCTGCTGGGGTCAGGGACCCAACAACGCAACAGCCTGGTCGACCAGGCAAGCACCAGATGAGCCTGGCTTGGGAGTAGAAAAAAAATTTGCAATCATCAAAGGTAAAGGTAGGGGGTAAAGATACCTATCTCTTATTCTTCCATCTCCTTGGCACTCCCCCCTTCCTTCTTCCTTACTTCCTTTATATTTTTTCCTATATATTCCAAAAAATACCACCCGTCGATACATTCTTTTTGCAAATATAAGGGTCTTTTAAAACCAGCAAAAAACAACAAAATACCCTTTATCCCTTTGGGTGTTGCAGAGGCAAAGGCAAAGTTCGCGGCTTTACTGGACCCACATAAAGGATCACTTGGACAACGAAATATGGATCCCAGGTTCAACCCCATACAGAGTGACGGTGAACAGGCAAAAGGGGGGGTTGGGCCCGTACATTTTCAGAGTCACTTGTTTGCACAGAAGCTAAATGCCTAAAAAGATGTGTGGAAGTTTTAGAGTAAAGGGTCGAGAAAACCAAAAAACCCGTCTTGTGATAGTCTAAAGCCCCCGGAGCAACATCCCAGCAAAATTTCCCGGAAAAGCTGTTAAAAAAAATTTCCACTGTCTGGAAAACTTCCCGCTCCTGCACCCAACATTTGCTCTGGGGGATTTCAATTAAGGCACCCAAAATGGGGGAATATAGAAATAATATTGTTGCAGAAAAACCCCAGGAGGCAGCTTGAGAAAACTACACCAGCGAGTTTTTAAATCTTGCACAAATTAAATTTTAAACCAGCAAAAATAGAGCCTACTAGATGGGAAACACTAGCCTCATTTTCACTAAAAAGATGATTGATAAGAAATATCACCATATCAAAAACAATATATCAGATCACAACATAATTGGGTTTCAGTAGTATGCGCGGACCCCCAGCCGACAAAAGGAGTTTAGTCAGAGGGAATTCCCCAAAATTCAACTTCAATAACAAAACATAAAGTGGGACCAAGAAAACCCAAGTCCTCCCCGATAAAAGCGGGGATGTTACTAAGCAACCAGACCCCAACTTATGCCTAGAAAGTTTAAACTCGGTAGCCCGATTAGCACAAGGTTATTCCCAAAAAAAAGGAGGAGTAGGTAAAAGGGAAAAGAGCAGGGCCCCCTTTTTACAGGGGAAAAAGATAAAGAGGGTAAAAGAGGTCAATATATCTGAAAGCGTGGGGGACATGGTCGAGAAATGAAGATCAAATTAACTAAAAAAATCCTTTGGGGTCGGAATCGCGGGAAGAATAAAAAGCCATAAATGAATCGAAAGAACCCCCAAAAGTATTTCTTCCCCTTGCCAAAATAAAAATGAGAAAAAACGCCCCAGTATTGGCCCCTATTAAAAAGAGGGCCCTAACAGTGACAACAAGGAAATGAGGAGCTCTAAAGCCCCAATATGCTCATTTTTTTAGAAAAGCCCTAACCAGATGAGAGTGAAGATAAAATAAATTTTTATGGAGAGCCACAAAAATTTGTTAACAAACCCTACTGTGTTACCCTGACGCCAAATGACTTCGAAAGGCGATAAATGACATGCCTGACTTGCCCCGGGCCCAGACCATGGAACTTGTGTTCATCAAGAACTGAAAGAAGCCCCTATCCGAGCCTTTTCCATCCTAGGGAGGGGCAGGGACAGGGGGGGTGCCCCGTTACTAAAAAACAACGTAGCCCCTCCCAAGGGGGCAGAAAAGCAACAGCAAAGAATACAGCCCAAATACACTAACATCCCATATCAAAAAATCTTTGAAAGGGTCAAAGAAGCAAGACACACGCATCTAAAAACCCCACAGTTACACAACCCGGGGCAAATGGGTTTAGAACAGTCGCTCCTGTCTGTCTAACTTTGGCCCATACGCAAGGCCCTAAATGCACTAGAAGACAAAAAGATGCAGTGAAATATATACAGACTTTGAAAAACCCTTCGAAAAGTGTGCCCAGCGTAATAGGCAAAAATTTTGGGTGAAGGAATAACAGGAAAAGTGGTCGATGGATCTAAAATTTTCCTCACTAACAGAACCAGGAGTGTCGTAACAGGTAAGGAGGCAGCTACGGTGAAAAGCTCTGTTCCACAAGGCACAGTACTCGCTCCCATCTTGTTCCTATCCTTTATCCGCATGAAAGGATGTCAGCCACGACCGTGTTTTCCCTTTGCAGATGACACCCGAATCTGCATGACATGTCTTCCTTGCAGACACGCAAAGCCCCAGGCAGACATCAACCAAATCTTTCAGTGGGCTGCAGAAAACAATAGAAGAAAACGATGAGAAATTTCAATTACTAGATATGGTAAACATGAAGAAATTAAATCTTCATCGGTACAAAAAAATTTTGGGCCCACAAAATAGAGCGAAACCCCAAACGTAAAAAGACCGGGGAGGATCATGTCGGGGATCTCCCCTTCAAGACCAAAAAACTTTTATAAATGCATCTGTAAAAAAAATGACAGGATGGTAATGGAACCTTCAAAACTAGGGGGGCCCAAGCATGATGACACTCTTCAGGTCACTTTTTCTATCTGGGCGGGAAATTTGTGAACATAACAGCCCTTTCAAGGCGGGTAAAATTTGGACCAGAAAATGTACAGAGAATTTCAGGCGCGCTAAGGAGATAAAACACCTCAATTTTGGGAGCGTTGAGGTTCCTAAACTGTATTCCCGGGAAAAGCGGGGGAGAGAACATGATTTATAAATGGAAAATCCTGGGAGGGACAGTACCGAACTTGCACACGAAAATCACCCATCGAAAGAAAAAAGATTGGCAGACTGCACATCCCCCCAATAAAAAAAGGGGGGTCACTAGCAGTTAAGAGACCATACAATAGTTCGGGGGGCCCGGGGACTGTTCAACTGCCTCCCAGCACACTAAGGGGGATTCCAAAACAGACCCCTGGCGTCTTCAGTGGCCGGACAAGCACCAAAAGTCGTTCCGGATCAGCCGGGCTGGGCTGTTTTTTGGGTTTGCGTGCGCCGAGCAACACCCTGGTTGATCAGGTCTGATCCCAGGGGCTGGTTCGAGGGCCGGGGGGCGTTGACCCCCGGACTCTCCCCAGGTAAACTCCAGGTAATTCATGGAGAAATTTAAAACCCTTTGACTGTTTCGGTCGTTTCTTATGTTTTACGAGCCAGGGTTTTTTTTGACGTTATGTATATCTTTTAAAAATTCCCAAAAACAGCTTAAAATAAAGAGGAGAAAGTGGAGGCCCCATGTAAGAAAAGGGGTCTGCACAGTCGTGTGCCCCTTAAAAAAAAATCCTGCAGCATGCAGTGCAATGAAAAAAAAAAAAATCGACCGTTTTTTTTTTAAAAATGCTGACTTTGTGGTTTTTTTTTTGATGTATTTATGGTTGTTTTCTGTTTTCTTGGTTCATTTGATAGAAGGGAAAAAACTATTACAGAAATAGAGGGGATTTTCATTGGTTTTATATGAAAGACCTTAAAAATGGAGCTCAAGTATGGGAGATGTTTGTTTTTTTCCCGATGTTAAAAGAAAAACAAATGATGTCTTTTGTCCAAAAAATGCCCAAATAGCCATTCTAATATGCAGTCATAA